GAAAAGAAAATTATCTTGCCTCCGTGGAAGAAAGCAAAGCTGCCGGAATAGCTATGAGCAATGAGATGTTAAGGAAAAAGAAAGAAAGAAATTAAGTTTTATTTAATTAAAAAGTATATTAANACCATTTTTAACCGACCAAAAATGGTCTGTTAACAGACCATTTCGGTTGTTAAGGAGTGTTTGGTTTTATTTGTTAACTAAAAAGGTAGTATTGTCTTTTTAATAAAACCATATTTTATAATTGTTTTATTCAATTAAGGGCATTTTTGTCTTTTGAACTCCAATAGGCCAATTTTAAAAAATACAATGAATGAAAAGTCAATTATGAATAATGGGTCTTTGACTTGATCATTTTTAAAAGAACCCCGAATGGCATCTAGTTTCTTGAAGCACCCCATGAAACTTGTGAATAAAAGATTCTGATTCCCGATCGAATATCCATTTAGTATATCTATGATTCGTGTTATTTTTTGGAATTGCAGCCACAAATTCACAAAATTCGTTCTCAATGGTTTGCACCTACAGTACAATCTTTCTGAGGACAATACAGTTTTTCACTATTTTAATAAATGCGTTTTTGTATAGTGGTAGGCAAAGTCGCTAAAAATAGTAAACGAGTTTACATCAGCTGATATATCTTCTCTTTACTTCTGAAAGGGTCCTTTTTTGCCCCTTTTCTATTATTTTACGTTGTAAGGATAAAAATATTAGTTAGTTCCCAACAAAAACAACTTGTCGTGTCCGTAAAAGGTAAAAGATTTATAGAGTTTCAATGGATTCTTTAACTCGATCACGATTTCTAATGGTATCTTTTGAAGATGATGTATTTTAAGCGTTTTTATGAAGAACATTTTATGTCACGTTTTGTGCAACCACGTAACAAAAGTAAATCTTCATTTTGCAAAGTATTACTTCCATAAATGTTATCAATAATTTATTAGAATTGTCAATTTTTGTATATTTTATTCTTTATTCAATGATAAATTCATATTCACTAACCCACGTGATTTGTTATACAAATGTTTCTTCTTAATTGTCTCTGCAATTTGAGTTTAATCCCCACTATTTTCAAAATATATTTTTTCTCTTCTTTTCAATCACATATTTTTCAATAAAATAATATTAAACGAAAATCTAAAAATTTTCCTTATTTTTCAACAACACATTTTTCATTAATCTATTATTTTCAAAATGCATTATTAAGAAATAATGGTGCTCAAACGTGCTCATGAAAAATACACTTGGAAATCAGAATGTTGAAAAATATAATTATTAGCTTGTTTGGGAGGGATTTTTGGGGGAAGAATTGATTTTGAATAGTGATATGATGGGAAATGTGTGGTTGAAAAAGAAGAAAAAATTATTGATGTGATGGAAAATATTATTTTATTGAAGAATGTGTGGTTGAAAATGAGAATTGATTTACTGTAGAAAAATCAAAATCTCTCCCAAACATGGCATATATTTAGTTAATAATTTATTATAGAAAATCAATCATTTAAGACGATCTTATTTGATTTTAATCAAATAGAAACCAATATATTTTAGGCCCCGTTTGATAGCATCCATTTTCCAACATTTGTAGTGTTTGATAGACAAATTTTCCCTGGGAAAATATTTTTCAACTTTCTAAATTTTCCACCTTTTTGAGAAAAATAAGGCTATGCTTGATAGCATCTCTTTTCCATTGAAAATAGAAAACATTTTCCTTTTCCATGCAAAAGTGTTGTTTGATGGGTAAAAGTTGGCCAAGAAAAAATTTTCCTCCCCCCTCTCCCACGTGCCACTTTCTATGAAATTGTGGAAAAGATTTTCTCACCAAAATGGTGAGAAAATCTTTTCCAGTTTCTGCCAACAATTTTTTTTTTATTTGGTAATGGAAACAAATGTCATACCCAATGGTAAAAATTTTTTTTACTTTAATGAACAATTTCCTTGTAAAACAAAATCAAACGAACACTAAACTTTGATTAAAAAAATGATTTTTTAGGAAACATTTTTTTTTTACTTTTTGGCAATGGAAACAAATTTTATAACCAATTGNTTGACAATTGGAAAAAATTTTGGACACAATGGTAAAAAAAAAATTCACTTTTATTAACAATTTCCATGCAAAACAAAGTCAAACGAATGATATTCGGTATGATTATTTTTTTTCAATTGAAACAAATTCTAAACTCAATGGTAGAAAATATTGTCACTTTAATGAACAATTTTCATAAAAAAAGAAACCAAACGGACACCAAATTTTCAATATTTTCCATGGAAATAATACTAATCAAACATAATTAATTACAATTTTTAGTAAAATAATTCTAGGCAAATCAATTCTCTGTAAAACATTTTCTTTCCACCCATTTTCCAAATATGCAGTCAAACGGACCCTTAATGTTAATCAATAATAAGTTATCTCAAAATTATGTAAAGAAAATAAAATTGTAATTAATTTCTATTATGGGAAAATACGTATTTATCATAATTTTAAGATACACTTTCATATTTAAGAAACTCACTAGAAAAAGTTCTGAATGAATGAGAAATTGTGGTTCAAAATGGAAGAAAAATGAAGAGAAAAGGCCAAATCAACTAACACTGCCGCTTGAGTCTTAGACTAGTCCAAGCGAGCAGCGAAACTATCGCTAGAGCTATAAGCCCGTGCCAAGCGAGCGAGCGATAGATAGGATTGCGACCCTTCTTGATGGTTGCTGAGTTTTGGAGAGTATCTCTTCACTCACAACCTCTCATCTTCTACATAGGAGCCCTTGGACGATCATTATGTATCATATATCATTGGCATTGAGTCTCGCATAAAAAACTATAGTAAAAACTCTCCAAAATTATTTTCTTATAGAGATAAGAAAATCGTTTGAATTTGCTATTACTTGTAAATTGAAGTACTTCTACCACAAATTGTATGTTGTATTTTGGGAGACATGTCATAATTTGATAGCACCATTGTGATGCAATTTTGTTTTAAGGAGAAAGTGTTGTATCACTTGCCTTGAATTTCTTTCATTTTTTATTCTCCTTCATTTCCTTTCGTTTTCCATTCTATATATATATTGAATATAATTACGTTTATACGAATTAAACTTAATCATTAACTTTGTCAATTACAAACAACCCTTTCACTATACAAATGACCAACAGTGTATCTATATTTAGAGGGGAAAAACCCGATTTGATTTGAGATAATGAAACTCGAAAGGTAGGGATTGATTTCTCTATCTATTTTCCTAAGGGAAAAAATCACATTTAATTTAAGGCATTAACTATGCACAATTTAAAAATCAGGTTTTAAGTTTAATTGATGCAAAAATCAGATATTTATTTATTAATTAAATATAATACAATCACAACTATATAATTAATGGGCACAAGTACATAATCATATGTCACAATTATTTATTGATCATGTATTAAATAATTTGTTGGTCACAAATTATAACATTTTAAGGTCATAGTTTATTTTTTATTGGTTACGGATAAAAAATTATAAGTCACAATTCATCAATCAGTCACGTATTTTCAAATTTTTAGTCACAAATTATAGAATATTAAGGTCACAATTAAACAGTTGGTCACAGGTAGGGGTCACATTCGACCACCACCTACACCGTCGCCACTGTTGCTGCTTCCACCAACACCACCATCAACACAATGCCATCGTGTCAACCACCATCACATCGCCGTCAACCACCATCACATCGCCGTCAATCACCAACACAACCATTGCTGTCATCGACTAGCACTGCTAACATCACCACTACCTCAACACTGCAGCCAACATCACAACGACCACCACCCAACTACAAACACCGCTACAGCTTGCAAACCACTACCAATTACCCTAAAAACTCCAGATTTTCACCACCACCAGCACACCACCACCACCACCTTACCACCAATGCCCAAAACAATCCACAACAGATTGAAAGGAAGAAACACCACGTCACTGTCGCTGTTGCGACGACTGTACCTCTCAAAGCAACGCAGAGTCATCCCAGACATATCGGAGGGAAAAAATACTACATCCATGTTGTCACGTCCCCAAAACTACATACATATCGTCGTCACTACAACAATGACTATAGCTTGCATAGCACCACACACATGGCCGTCGCAACAATGGTGACTGGAGCTCGGAGTCGTGCACAACACTGCTATTGTAGTGGCATTGACGCACACCGCGTTCGTAGCGCTTTTTGAGCGTTGTGCACAGTCACATTAATGATGGATCTCGTTGAGGAGAGTGAGAGAATTCCAACTTCTTCGGGAGTGAGGGAAAAGATTTCGGCGTTGAGAGAGAAAGTGAGAGAGAGCGAGGGGAGGGGAGGGGAGGGGAGGGGAGGGAGAATTGATTAAAATGATTTAGGGTTTGAAAGTAGGTACGGTGAGTGTTTTGACAAGTGTTGAATCTGTAATATAATTATTAATATTAAAATATTAAATTGCCACCTATTTTTTATTAAAAATACTTCAAATCTGATTTTTTGAAGTGTGATCTTTAAATACATGTTCTAGCCCCCTGTTTTACACCCATTTTAGAGAAAAAAATAAATTTTGGAAGAGTGCTTGATGGAAGAATGTATGAGTTTTAAATGAATAATTATTTATCGTGTATGGGGGGATGAATTGATAAATTAGGGTTTTAAATGAATAATTATTTAATTAAAATGATTAGAATTTTTTTTTTTTGAAAAAAGATAAAAAAAAATCTGATAAATAAAAAAAATATGAAAATTTGATTTTTTTAAAATATGAAAAAAAATATTTGATTTTATGTAATTACCACTTTTCCTAAAGGGCAATTAAGCCCAGTCCAAACCATAAGCCCGTTTCCGAAATGCCTGAAAAAACCTAGGCAACGGCGCTCTACAAAATAGTCATTTCACAGTAACTATATAGCATTACACAAACCCTATTTGTCACTCTCAACCCAACAAACCGTATCGCCCCCTCCCCCTAGCAAATTGCAAAACCTTTGCTGCTCTGCGATGGCTGCCGCTGCCGCCCGTCCTCTAGTCACCGTCCAATCCCTGGAAAATGACATGGCCACCGATGGAGGCTCCGCCAACTCCATACCACTTCCCGACGTGATGAAGGCGACGATCCGCCCTGACCAGGTGACATTCATGCACGGCCAAATTTCCAAGAATGCTCGCCAGCCTTACGCCGTGTCCAAGAAGGCTGGACACCAGACCTCCGTCGAGTCATGGGGAACCGGACGCGCTGTGTCCCGTCGAGATGTTTATTCCTCGCCTCGCCGATGCTTATTCCTGGCCTTGCGAGATGTTTATTCTTCGCTTCGCCAGAGGCTCATTCTTGGCCTCGCGAGATGTTTATTCCTCGCTTCGCCAGATGTTTATTCTTGGCCTCGCGAGATGTCGCTTCGCCAGATGTTTATTCTTGGCCTCGCGAGATGTTTATTCCTCGCTTCGCCAGATGCTTATCCCTGCATTCCTCGCCTCGCCAGATGCTCATTCCTGGCCTCGCGAGATGATTATTCCTCGCTTCGCCAGATGCTCATTCCTGGCTTCGCGAGATGTTCATTCCTCGCTTCGTCAAATGTTTATTCCTCGCTTCGTCAAATGTTTATTCCTGGCCTCGCGAGATGTCGCTTCGCCAGATGTTTATTCCTGGCCTCGCGAGATGTTTATTCCTCGCTTCGCCAGATGCTTATCCCTGGCCTCACGAGATGTTTATTCCTCGCCTCGCCAGATGCTCATTCCTGGCCTTGCGAGATGCTCATTCCTCGTTTCGCCAGATGCTCATTCCTTTCTTCGCCAGATGCTCATTCCTGGCTTCGCGAGATGTTTATTCTTCGCTTCGCCAGATGTTCATTCCTGGTTTCGCGAGATGTTTATTCCTCGCTTCGCCAGATGCTTATCCCTGGCCTCGCGAGATGTTTATTCCTCGTCTCGCCAGATGCTTATTCCTGGCCTTGCCAGATGCTCATTCCTCGTTTCGCCAGATGCTCATTCCTCTCTTCGCCAGAGGCTCATTCCTGGCTTCGCGAGATGTTTATTCTTCGCTTCGCCAGATGTTCATTCCTGGCTTCGCGAGATGATTATTCCTCGCTTCGCCAGATGCTCGTTCCTGGCCTCGCGAGATGTTTATTCCTCGCTTCGCCAGATGTTCATTACTGGCTTTGCGAGATGTTTATTCCTCGCCTCTCACTATCGTTAAGCCTAACTGTAAGACCTCGTCATTCCGAGGCCAGTTTATAGGACTCCGATAGGTCGAGACTTTATTAGTGGGATGTTTATTCCCCGCTTCGCCAGATGCTTATCCCTGATCGAAGACCATAAAGCTTCAAGTTGATATTGATTCGGTGCAAATTGGGAGAATTGAAGATATACCTTTCCTAGATGAGAATGGCTCTGTTATCTTTGATGAAGATGGGAAGCCTCTTTTACATACTGATGGAACATG